TGAACTTGACAATTAGGGACTAGACTAGTGGGAGCACATGCACAAAGGAGAAGAGTTCAACAAAGTAAAAGATCCGGAACATGAACTTGACAATGAAGGATTAGACTAGTGGAAAGCACATGCACAAGGGGTAGAGATCAACAAGGTAAAGATCCGGAATATGAACTTGACAATGAGAGACTAGACTAATGGAAAGCACATGCACAATGAGTAGAGATCAACAAGGTAAAGATCAGGAGCATGAACTTGACAATGAGAGACTAGACTAATGGAAAGCACACGCGCAATGAGTAGAGATCAACAAGGTAAAGATCCGGAACATGAACTTGACAATGGAAGACTAGACTAATGGAAAGCGCATGCACAAGGGGTAGAGATCAACAAGGTAAAGATCCGGAATATGAACTTGACAATTAGGGACTAGACTAGTGGGAGCACATTCACAAAGGAGAAGAGTTCAACAAAGTAAAAGATCCAGAACTTGAACTCGACAATGAAGGATTAGACTAGTGGAAAGCACATGCACAATGAGTAGAGATCAACAAGGTAAAGATCCGGAACATGAACTTGATAATGGGAAACTAGACTAATGGAAAGCACATGCATATGAAGGGAAGATCATCCGGATCATTACTCTTAGTATGAACATGACAACGAGTGACTAGACTAATGGAGAGCACATGCATGTGAAGGGAAGATCATCCGGAACATCACACTAAGTATGAACAAGACAAAGAGACGCGAGACTAGCGAAAAACATATGCACATGAAGGGAGAGATCATCCGGAACATCACACTAGGTATGAACATGATAATGAGCCACTAGACTAATGAAAAGCACATGCATGTTAGGGGAAGATCATCCGGAACATCACACTAGGTATGAACAAGACAAAGAGATGTCAGACTAGATAGAAAGCACTTGCATATGAAGGGAAGATCAACCGGAACATCACACTAAGTATGAACATGACAATGAGTGATTAGACTAATGAAAAATAGATGCATGTGAAGGGAAGATCAACCGGAACATCACACCAAGTATGAACATGTCAACGAGTGACTAGACTAATGAAAAGCACATGCATGTGAAGGGAAGATCATCCGGAACATCACACTAGGTATGAACAAGACAAAGAGATGCTAGACTAGATGGAAAGCACTTGCATATGAAGGGAAAATCAACCGGAACATCACACTAAGTGTGAGCAGGACAATGAGTGATTAGACTAATGAAAAACACATGCATGTGAAGGGAAGATCAACCGCAACATCACACTAAGTATGAACAAGACAAGGAGATGCTACACTAGATGGGAAACACTTCCATATGAAGGGAAGATCAACCGGAACATCACATGCTATTACATAAGTGAAAACAAGAGTCTAAGTAGGCAAGATTACCAAAGTTGAATCAAAGGCCATCTATGAAAGAAGCGCTGTACTAGCTACTCGTGTGAGCGTGAAAAACACAAGTTTGGAGAGCCCAAATCACCAAGATTGCATCAAGAAGCATCCATGGGTGCAACGCTATACTACCTACTAGTGGGAGTGTGAAAATCGCAAGTTTGAAGCTCCCAAATCACCAAGATTGCATCAAGAAGCATCTAGGAAAGAATCGGAGTACTACCTCCTAGTGCATAAGTGGAAGAGAAGAGTTTGAGTAGCCCATGGAAGAGAGAAGGTGAAGTAAGAGAAGATGGATGAGAAGGGGAGAGAGATGAGGGAGATGGAGATGGAGAAGAAGAGGAGGAAAACAAGGAGAATGAAAGTGAAAAGAAGGAAGTAGGAGATGAAGAGGGGAGAGAAAAGAAAGAAGGAGGAGGGAGTGAGGAGAAAGAAGAAGAAGAAGGAGGAGGAGAGGAGGAAGGAGAAGAAGAGGAAGAAAAATAATAATAATAAGAAGAAGAAGATGGAGGTGAAGAAGTCTCTTCCTTCCTCTCACCTTGTTGATTCCTTGATGTTGGTGTCCTCTTGATGAAGCTTCCTCTCCTTGCACAACCTCCTCTTGGTTATGACTCCCTTCTTCTCCAAGCCCTTCTCTCCTCCTCCTTTGCTTTCTCTCAGGTTATGGCAAGCTCCCTCAGCTATGGCTATGGAGTCCTCCCCTCTAGGAGGGCTAATGGGGCTCCTCTAGCTTCTCCTTCTCTCCTACACCCAGGAGGGATATGGCGGATCACCTCCCAAGTGTCTCTCCCACCATCACTATCCTCTAGATTCCTCCCCACTACCTCTTAGTCTCCTCTAAGCTCTCCCACTACCATGGGCTCCTCCCCTCTCACTCCAAGTGCAAAGGTGCTCCTGTGAGCTCACTTGGGCAGCATGGGCACTCCTCATGCAAATGTGAGAGTGGCGGACTGCATCCTCAGCTTATGTAGGCTGAAACTAGCAGTCCGACCAGTCCATGAGCCTCCCCATAAGCCTTGAGGTGAACCGAGGTACCCCCAAGGCAAAATTCCCTCACTAGGCCCTCCTGGAGGTACCTGGGCCTCATTTTGGCCAAGTACATGCAGTCCAAGTGGTTGGTACCAACTCGGACTGCCTCTTGGCCTACCCCGACATCTTTTTCATTGCTCAAATGCTGGCCCTTAGGGTCCTAATGCCCAAGGGGCAGCAATACTTGAAAGAAAAAGGCCTTGCGAGCCTTTTTCTCGATTTTTTCAAATTTCGGGCTCGTTTGAGTAGGCCAGAGCATTTTTACATATGACGGCCCATTTTCAGCCTTGGATCTGGCTGAGATCCAAGGCCAACAATAGTCCGAGCTACCCCCTAGTAGCCCTTGCTTCAATTTTGAGCCCCTAAGTCCATTTTTTCAATTTTTGGTGCATCTGACTCTCTTTTTGGGCCAAATGCACAGTTTTGGCATTTTTTCCTCTTTTGTTTCTTTCCATTTTGGGCTGCCAACTCATTCCGGAGCTAGCCGTTTTGAGCTGGCCCACAAAAAACGTGTAGTTCCTCTCTACCATGAGATCTGATCTCATATCCATGGCCCAAAAGAAAACCGGTCACTTCCTTTTTACATTTTCTCTCATTTTCAACTTTTTAACTCAGATTTTATTGAGATCTTTGCAATCCGGATTGCCCTCCCTCATTCTAGGAGGGATGAGGTCACTGTTGGGACCTGCCAGTCCCTACTGTGCAGGTCCCAATAGGCCAGCACACTCTCCTT